GATGAGGCTCAATCAGTGCATGGTATAATGTTCGAAGATATTTGTCTGTCAATATATTCCCAAGGTATTTAATTTTGTAGGATACAAATCTAACTTTCTTTAAAATATAATTGACATGGATGTCCCATCGTAAGTGAGGATCCAAGACCACTCCAAGGTATTTTATGTTGGGCACTCTATTAATTTGCATTTTTTGATCATTAATATTGAAGGAGAAATTTGTGTAATTTGGCAGATGTCTAGCATAAGATCCAAATGGTAAAAAATGTGTTTTAGAGTAGTTAATGCTTAATTTTCTACTGTTAAACCACCGAATAATTTTGATAAAATCATTTTCAATTACATTTTTCAGATCAGACCAGTCAGTGCCTTCATATAATATTGCAGTATCATCTGCAAAACTAGTTATTTTGCCAACACAATTAATTTGGAAAATATCATTTAAATATATATTGAATAACAGCGGACCTAAGACAGTTCCTTGTGGGACACCACACTTAATATACATTTCTTTACTAAATGATCCTGATATCTGCACAGATTGTGGGCGATTTGACAAATAACTTTCGATCAGTGAGTACGCGTTTCCTCTGAAACCAATTCTCTCCAATGCTTCTAATAATAATTTGTGATTAACTGTATCGAAAGCTTTCTTTAAATCAACAAAAATGCAGATTGAAGGGATTCTGTTATCAATATTTTGATGTATTTGATTTACAATTTTAGTTATTGCGTCCGATGTAGCCTTCCCTTCTGTAAATCCAGATTGATTTTCACTTAAAATTTTGAATTTTGTGAGGTATCGAATCATTCTAGTAGATAAAACTTTTTCAAAAACCTTTGCTACACTGGATATTATTGATATTGGTCTATAGTTGTTAACATCTGTTTTTGTTCCTGATTTATGTATCGGTATTTTTTAAAATTGAGGGATATATGCCAGATTCAAAGCATTTGTTGATTAGGTAAGTGAGTGGTTCTGTTATGTCCTCGGCTATAATTTTCAAATGCTCGCTTTTAATACCATCGAACCCAGGACTTTTCCGATTTTTTAAGGACATAACAGTGGCGTATACTTCACATTGCTCGACTTTATCCAAAATAAATGAGTTCAAAGTTCTTTTTGGAGGCTGAGTATTTTGTACATTTGCTTGTATATTACTTTCTAAATTTTCGCCTATGTCAGTAAAGAATTGTACAAATTCACCGCATATCTGTTGAGTATTTTTTAATACTGTTCTCGATGTTGTATTTAACTCAGTGACACACTCTTTAACTTTTGTTTTCCCAGTAATCTCATCGATAGTTGTCCAAAGCCGCTTAGGATCATTTATTATTCAATTTATTTAGGTAATGTTTTCGTTTGGTTTGCCTTACAAGCTCTATAAATTTATTTTTATATTGGTTGTAGCAGTCGGTATTCTCTGTAGTTGGTGTTAGTTTCATTACATTATATAGTCTTTCTTTTTCTATTGCCGATGTTATTAATCCTTTGGTAATCCAGGCATTTCTGCTTTTCTCTTTGTGACTAATTATTACTTTATTGGTACTAATATCTATTAGTTTTTTTATTTTCTCTATGAACAGTCCCGTTGCCTTGTCTATATTATTTATAGAGTATAATTGTTCCCAGGATTCTTGTTTGACATTTGATATTAGTTTTGAATTGTCAACAAAAAATTTGTAATTTTCCTGGTTTTTACTAACGGTAGGGATGTTAGAATGTTTTTCAGTTGAAGATATCAGTAAAATAGTGGAGAAGTGGTCAGTAATGTCGCTTTCTAGGATTATTGGTATACAAGTAATTTTGTTGAATAGGTCTTTCACAAAGCTGTGATCTATACATGTGCCACTGATGGACCTTGTAGGTAGGTTTATATAGTACAGAAATCCGTTACTTGATAGGATATTCAAGTATTCATTTGTGATGGGATCAGCGTCCAAAATATTTATATTGACATCTCCCAAGAAAATATGTTGCTTTAAATGATCTTTATTTTGATTTTGAAAAAAAAAAAATCGATATTCTTTAAAAACTCGTGGGGTTCTGAACATGGCGGACGATAAATTGCAGATACCTTAATTTTGTTATGGTTAATTTGGATCATTATGTTTAAAATTTTGATTCCATCGGTGAAAGTGAATGTATCATGATTATATTGCAGTTTATTTCTTACAAAAACTATCACCCCATCGTTTTGGTTATAAGTGCCAAAGTTATACAGCGTGTCATATCCCTGCTGATTAAAGCAAGAAATATCAGCCACTTGCCACGTTTCAGTTAAAACTATTAGATCAAAATTGTACCATATTTGGTCGAGTAGTATTTTTAAGTAATCAAAGTTGTGTTTTATACTCCTTATGTTCATATTAAAAATTCGAAATTTTGCATCAGAATTTTGTGTACATAAATTAAGTTCATCGACGTTTTGTGCTATATTTGTTGCAATACTTGGAATTTGGAAATCATTAATGTATTTATTTACTGACATTTTTAGGTCCTCTTTAGAGATAGGAGTAGTAAAAGACGAACTTGAATTTTAAAAAAGTATCCTTAAGTTTTGTTGTTCCTGATAATATCATTGTTTCGGAAAAAATGCTTGACGGCAAACGATACGATGCTCAGTTGTCCACGGTCCCATGGCTAAAACTGTATTGCCTGTGCTCTCTGCTGGCGGTGAGGCAAGGTCAACCCACTCCTTTTTGCGAAATACTATTCACTCAGAAAACATGCGTTTCCTCTGCGCCACCCAATATTGGTAAACGATTTTTTTGTGCTTTTTTGAGGGCAGTGGCTATAAGAAACATACAACGTAGGTCATCAAGCATACGCACTACACATATCACATTGATACGAGTAGTTCATATGCATGTCGTATTGTTACGAGTATCTGTGACGACTCTACGTACACAATTGGCACATCTCAAAGAATGATTTTTCATGAGTTGTGATAAAATATTCTTTTGTGAACCTGTATTATAATAATCATCTTTTTGGTTTAGTATATTGATAAGAACCTTGTTAGCACATGCGAGTACAAGAACAGTGTGGACCAATCAGTCATTTTTAATAGTTATTATACAGCGTATTCGGAAGCTTGATACAAACCTTTTAAGGAGTCATAGTACACCTCATTTGGAACATATTGAGCCACATATACCTCACTACAAAGTCGAACCGTTTTTGAGTTACGCCTAATTTTGTGAAATCTTAGAGGAAAGTCAAAGTCATAAGATTTACCATCGCCAGTTCAATAACAAAGAGCAATTCCATTGTCCTCTTATTTTTTTATTTTTATCTCTCATCTTGACGCATTGTCTCCCTATGCAAGTAGTGTCCAAGGAGTGGAAAGGAGGAAAAGTCCCTTACACGTTATAAAAATAATGCTGATTTACTGAATGGCGCAATTTTTCAGAGTTTCGTGGCTTTGCGAACGAATTCAATGGGCAATTTGGCAACGATGTAATTAAAAATAAATGACAAACTTAATACACTTCTGCTCTTTTGTATGTTATGTCATACGAAGCGATGCAATCATAATAATTTCCTCGATAACCCAAAATATATAGTTCAAGCAGAATGTCACCGAAATTACTGAAAAAAATAAAATCCATTTTCATAAAACAAACATTTCAGGGACCTTGTTTTATATTCCTGTACTAGTCGTCAGTTTACTAGGAGTGATTCGGTTTCACAGTATCGTGTAGCTTTTCTGCAGATTCACTGAGAAGGTACGGCAAATTTAAAATTCTGCGAAAACACTAAACTTGATACACAGCAGCATAATTTTTAAAAACATTGCAATACTCCAGAACAAACGACACACCCCGTAAGTGCGAACTCGTCATATAACATTTATTTTTATGTAGTATAAAATAAAACGCTAGTAGCGATACTCATTTCTTATAGTAAAGCAATTGAAAGTAACAGAATTACTTATTTGCTCGTTCTAATAACGTGCAACACTATGTCTGATACATTTTCATGCAATCTCTGACTGCTGGTTGTTTTAATTTATAGTAGTGGGTTATAGGCATGCTAGTTACAAATTTCAGTTTTGCAAATCAAATGCTCCTTGGAGGTCGTTTTGTCGTATAAATAAGGTGCTTGTCTAGGTTCACACATGAAATTCAAGCAGGAGTTAGATCAGGCGATCACACAAGTACGAAGGCCACGAAAATTCATTAGAAATTAACACGATCACTATTCCTTAATTTTCTACAACATAACGATCCACAGTGTATCACGGTTTTGTACTTCTGGGATGTACCGTTTGCTCTGAAGTTTTGTAATGTTCTTGAAAACTATATTTCGGTACATTAAATTTCATTTTGTAACAAGGGAACGGAAGATGTAACAATTTGCATTTTATTATTGAGTGAATAACTATTTTTTTTTCAATATCAGGTGTCTCGTTTCACGAAAACTGGATTTTGTTTTATTGTAATTTCGATTACATTCCATTGTATGTAATATTTTGGGTTATTGAGGAAAACATTAAAGCTATATCGCCATATATCACATACTTTGAGAAAGAGCAGAAGTGTAGGAAGTTTTTTAAATGATTCTGAATTACGCTGTTGTCATTTTTTTCCAAATCAACGTCATTTTTGATAATTTGCTATCGTTCGATAACTTGGAAACTACTTTCATATGGAGACGATAAAAATAAGAGAAGAATTGAATTGCTTTTTCGTTATTGATCTACCGATGCTTAATATCATGATTTTGGCTGTTCACTAAGATTGTATGACAAGAAATACGAGATCACGGACGTCAAGGTCTTTTCTCAGACATCAAAACAGACCACATTCTATGTTTCTGTTCAATATTCTATCCCTTGAAGCTATGATATGACTTTTTATAGTTCTGCTTGAACAAAGTAAACATTTTAGAGAGTTTGGCATACACTGAATCTCTCTGTGGCCTCATTTATTTTTGCGTTCCGGGTGCAAATTTAGGATCTTTCAAATGTAATTGAAACGCCTTTTAAAATAACTTCTATATTCCATTATCGTTACTGAAAATAACGTGTAACAAATTGGAATGTTGGATATATTCATAATATTGAGTGAAGTACATATATACGTAGTAATTACAATAAATTTGACGCAATATTACAATAGGGTGGATAACACAACAAGGAGTTGTATTCTACATCAACGTTTCCTCAAAGAGCCTGGTTAGTGCTGCTAGTAACAGGTACTGGATGCCGTCTAGCTGTTTTATTAAGCTCAGCAGGGTGCCACTCTGTCTCTCGTTCTCAAAGTCACGTTGCTTTGTATGCACCACACAAACCTCTCTAGAACCGAATTTGTCGCCTGATATCAAACAAATTCGGATCTACAGGGTAGATGTAGAGCATTAACGTGAAGTGACGATGAATGTGGGATTGAATCTGGAACAAAAACAGATTTTCAACAACTTCGATGATAATGGCATATACATAGTTCTCTTCACGGTTTTTGGCAGTTATGTCCTATGAAATAAGTAAACAGCTCGTCTCACTGTAACTCGCCCTTACTAACACAAAGATGAATTGATTGATAGAGAACCATTGTTTCTGTTTACTTTCTGAAGAGACTCCAATAAGTTTAATTCAGGCTGTCGACGATGTAGCCGTATCTCCAGAGTTTGTTATGTTTTATATTGAAGATCAGCAAACGGAAAATCTCAATCGCACGCCCATGACAAGCAGAGACAAGCATAAATGTGAAAGACTCATACGATGACGATCAATTTTCAAGGGGGTGAGACAAAACTGTGAAAATACCTATATGTTTCATTTCACATTTAAAATACCAACATGGTGTTGAGTACATACTATGAATCAAATATGTATGCTATCCATACTCTCTAAGTGTGGAAGTTTGAATTTTTTATCCAGAAGGTAGTGACACGACCACAGGACCATACATACTAAAGACGAAGAATAAATAATATTGCATCTAGTGTAGTTTCTAAATTTCTCAATTTCAAATTGTTACCAAAGTGATCTTTTTTTTTGTTTTGTATACGAGATGTCATAACTTTTGTATTCCTGAACGCTAACAACGTTGAAAGCCTGTAGCTAGTACTGTATATGCTTCCTAGTCAGAATATAATGTTCTGCAGCATTATATTTACACTAGAAAGAAACAACCGAATACTCATTCTGCTGTTGGCAATAAATTACAAATGATGAATTTCTTTAGTTCCACTTTATAACATGCGTGACTGCCCTTGCGTGACGTCTGGGTATCTAATTAATTTAGACCGTTTAATTACGTTAATTTGGAAACGGAATCAACACGTTGACCGTTCTTCTGACTTGCTGACCAAGATCTTTTTGACATTACGGAGGAGTGAACTTGGAAGCCAGAGAGATCAATACATGATGCGTATCAGGAGTTTCGTTAGTTATTCGATTTATTTGATTTTTTTATTTGATTTATTTTTTAGCAAACATGGCCACTATAGTCTTATCGGAATTTAATGTCTGTTTACATTAATCCAGCAAACATATTTTTGTTCAGACTATATTTGCGTGAAAAATCCTTTCCGTATATATAAACTTCGCAGTTAGGGAATAATGCATTATTTGTCGTGTTTGTTCACCGTAAGTTTATAAAGCTTTATTAGCTTTGGAGACTTGTTACTAAAGAAATGTATACCTTCACTTTAATCTTCGTTTATGTAAAAAAAATCAGCTGATTTTAATCGTAACTACCATACCTTTTATGTTACTAAAGCTTCACCTTGGTTTTGACTATATGCGCAAGCCTATCAGCGATGATTTCAGGAACTTAGGCCGAGTGAAAGTTTAATCGTATGCTAACATATCAATACATAGTAACTTCATATACAGTATATCTCTAACATTCCGGGATAGTTTGGAAGCCAAAATTTTTGTACTGATCTCCTTAAACTCGGACATATGCTAGTCGTATCTCACCATCTTCAACTCCACACAATTATCTCGACATCGTGGATCAGTGGTATAAACCACAAACCTGCCTGGAACACATTCGACTCGAAGGACCAAAAATTATGTTGCCAAGTTCCTTGTTTTCTCTGGACTGTTTGTTTGTATTGGCGCAGAAACAGTCCTTTAAATATTCAGATAATTCTGGAAATTATCTTCGTAAAAGTATGTTGAAACACAGTATATACTCAATTTTTGATATTCTACCAGTCATAAATATGTTTCTATCTAAACTTTAGCGCTACGTTAAGATTATACTATATCAGGGTTTTGAATTGTCAATTATATTACTGATCTGTGACACTGCTGGATGGAACTATTATAAAATAAGACAAATATCTGTCCATCCACTTGAACTTTTCTACGTTATTTCCGAACGGAGTCAGCAGTCAAGGCAAATTAGTGTCAAGCCGTATTTATATTTTAAAGATACTTACAATTGCGCCTTTGCTGTTCCTAGGATCTTTCTTATCCATATATCATATTTTCCGTAGATCAATTCGTTTTTTATGTGAACAGTCACCTTTTCTTCGACGGCCTTGCGATTTCCTTAACTTATTCTTCTTTCTTGTTTTTACTTCTTTACTGCAGGAATAAGTTCCTAAAATATATCCGGTATTAGAATATGATTACCACTTATGTGAGTAGTTTATTTTTCCGACATATTTGTGGATGAAAAAATGCGTAAAATCTTTGAAGGTATTCGTATATAATAGGCTTGTAGAAGAACCATATCTTTAAGACTATTAATGCAATGCGTTGTCCCTCAAATACGTATACCTAAATAGGCTGACTCATCATTTCCTAGAAATATGTCCAATAGGAAGGAAGTTAAAGGACTACTCATCATTTTTATGGGGAAAATAGTTCCGGTGGATTTGTTTCAAACTGAGAGGTTGTGTTCTTATTGTACCAACTTGATTTAAAACGATTTAAAGAGTCCAGAAGGCCTAAATTTTGGTTATTTATGCCATATATATACGCCGATACCGAAAAATCCGTCATGTCTTAACTGAGCACACAGCTTATAATTTGGATGTGCTGATTGCATTAAAAATCGCTCAACAGAATTTTCGTGTTAATCTTGTCTTTCATTTTGTCCATTACTACTCTTCAAAGTCGGAGAAATATCCTTACCAAGCACTGATATACCACAATGATGATGTGTGAAGTTTTTCTTTCCTTTCTTCACAGATAAGTATATCACAGTCTGTGTCTTAAATAAATCGAACCCAACTTAGATAGGTTTCCACCTCTAGTAGGAATAAAATGTATTATAACATTATTATTTCTTGCTTAGTGGCCTTAATATGCAGCAAACGTTCCTGTAGGATTTATTTTTTTATCATCCTATGATGAGTAGAAGTTATTCAGAAACTTATCTCTGAAGAGTTGATAAAAACTGTATAACCACTTTGGTACAATAGTGCTTTATGAGAAACGCCTCCTCCTAAGGGTCGAAAGGCGCAAAATGAAAGTAAAGATGGACTACAATAATAATTCTTTGAAGCATTTGTAAAGTAAGTAACTCACCCAAATCATTAGCTATGTGCTTAGCTAAAAAAATGGCATATCTTTCGGTATGCCTGTACAAGGTATAAATTACCCTACTTCTCCGACTTCTAGTCCCTTTGGAGCGCTTTCAAGCGAGTTGCTGCAACGAGAACATTTGATCAGCATCGCTTAGAGAACACAACTTTAAAAAAATCTATCGGAATTACTTTTCCCATAAGAATAGCGGGTACTCCTAGTTTTCAAAAATATTATTTCCTAACTTCCGCAGTTTTTCCCACGCGTTAGGTTATCAGTGTTCATATTGTAAAACCACATGCGAGCCATAGATCTGGTATTGCTCACAATTATATTTGCAGCTCCTAGGTGTCTACTTTGTTTTTTCGACTCATATCCTTTCTTTTTTTTAGGATACCTTACTGAAACTGTTCAATAAAATAACCGTTTGAAACTTGAAATGCAGCGAAACGTTATTGAACAACTTAAAGGTAATCCTCCACTGAATACCTAATCCTTCCGACCACTCGTTATCGAAACATCATGCATTTCGATTTCGTTGCTGGTAAGCGTGTTGTGTGCGCTAGAGTTCACGAAGAATTGTATCTCCGACTGTCGCGCGAATCATCTTAAATGACACCCGTCTGATAAATAAGCGAGTTATACTCAGTGACAATAAAAATAGGAAGCAAAAAAAAAAGATTTGATTTGAAAGAAATTTGATATACAGTTAGACATAAGTAATAGGAAAGAGTGATTTAATTTTGAATTTGAATCCATTACTGAATCGCTGGATTTCCCTACTGGTATACACTCGCCCAGTCATCGGAGCACGGGCATTTATAGCCTGGAGTATATCATCCCAAGCTACAAGGTGGGCCATTTAAAGTGGAAGCATCAAGTAACCCTATATCTTTGACGTTAGTTATCATACCGCGTTGGAAGCGCTATGTCAGTACAATTTTAACCATGGAACAGTACACACCAAAAGAACCACGCTGAAATTATTCAGTTGTCGCTTTGATTTTACTAAATCGAGCATTGAAATGGCCGAAAATGAAGATGACTTTTGGCGAAAAATCATCATGTCCGACGAGGCACATTTTTCGTTACATGGAGGCATAAAGTAATTACAACAAATCTCATTGGATCAAAGTAAAAGACTTTTCAAATGAACAACTAAAACTATTTTTTCAATGTCTTTTTTTATAAACAAATGGCCCGCCCTGTAGCTATGCTTCGTTGCGATGAGCTGCTAGTGTTGAAGGTAAATGCGCCAAAGGCCTATATATCTAGGAGGCCAAGGAAGGACGCATACTTGAGCTTTATTGGTTTAATTCATTAAAGCTCTAGCAAAATGGTTCGAAGCATTATCTTGTTGGAAAATAAGCTTCTCAAGCGTTTGGGAAAGTAGCAAAAGATGAGGTTCTAGTATTACCTGAATATGGCGTTGTGTCGAGGTGACCTAGCACCATATGTAATGGCGCTTCAAACTACTGCACCAACAGTACGGTGCACGTTAGATTACATCTTTCATCGCGGTGCTTTTTGATACGCGTCGTCCATCGTGCATTTGTGATTAACGGTGCATGATAATCGGGGACGAGTTAGAACTAGCCATGGAGAAACACGTAATGTGCATAGGTTTTGAGTTGAACATTACGTGGACCATACTGAGGGAATTATGGTCTGGGCGCCATTACAAATTATTATGGTGCTAAAGGACATCCAGTTTTCACAACGTAGTATCCAGGAAATACTGGAACCTCATTCTATGCCGTTTCTTTAGAAGCTTGACAACCCTATTTTCCAACTAGATGAATGCCCGTCCACATATTGCTAGAGCTGCATTGCCACAATGACGCTTGGGTTAGCCTCCTTTCTTGCCTTTCTAGACATGCAGAACTCTCACCTATTCAACATGTGTGGGATATGAAAAATATAGACATTTTCACCTTATCCTCAACAAAAGTTAACTCTTCAGTACCTAGTTAGCTAGGGACGATACCTTTTTGATTGAAAATATAAATCATCCACTCAATTGCAAGCCTCGACGACTGCATGGAAAGGGTCTAGTTAGCAAACTGAAATTTGCTGCATGGATAATATATTTTAGTGTAAAAGTGGCAGTTCAAAATTTCAAGATGGTGGCTCGGAGATATTTTGGAACATTTTTCCAACGGGACGGGGATGAGATATCTCCTTTTGGAGCTCCTATTGTACTTCAGGACCCTAGAGTATAGAAACACCTACTTTGAAAACGCTAGGCTGTCAAAGTTGAACGTTTTTGTACATTGAGTCCCTTCTAACTCAACAACTAATCATCAAACAGCTATGTTATATCAATATGCTTCTCTTGGAAATATCTATCTGAATATGTAGTATGAAACATTCCATTTGAAGAATTTAAAATTATGTGAAAGATGTTTAAACTCATATTTTATTGCACATTTAGATTTAGATTTAGACCGACTGACGATTAGATGATCATTTGTTGAGTGATAAGTGATTCAATATACATAAACGCTCAACTTTTGACAGCTTGCCCCATTCCACTTGAACAATTGCCGCTTCTACGTTTAAGTATAGCATTTGTGCATTAATTTCATTACCACGAATTTCAGCTTGCTATCTTGACCAGTTCAAACGGACTGTATAAAATTTGGTTCAAACAAAATCATCTCTAACGAGTGTTCTATTTGTATTTTCGTTGTCACTGAGAGAGTATTTGCCATATATTATTATTTAGGAATAGTTTTGAAGAATGAGAAAACTGCTTACATAAAATTCCAGATTAGTAAGTATTATAAAAATCCTTAACAGATGTGGAATAATTTCTCCAGGTGGAATCTACACACAAAACTCCAGTAAACATATATCACAGGACATTGAAAACGCTGAAAGCATTAATAATTGTTAACTCTGTAACCAAACCTGCAACCAGATGACTTATTTCTTGACATATTCTCAGGACAAAAAAATGCTATAGTATGCAAGTCTTCATTTCATCATGTTACATCAGACCAGGTTGAACAAGAACCGAAAGAAGTAAAGTCAAATGCTGCAGATGTTGAGAAACGTGTTCTCTTTTGGTAAATATCAGCCAACCAGTATCATCAACCAATCACTGAGCACAAGTGCCATCATTATGGAAAAAGGCAGCCACAGCACTTGCAAAAGTTAATAATGCCATCGATTTTAAGGACTGTAACAGGATCTTCGCCCGAGACTCTCAGACCTCTCAATGTCGTGCCTTGAGTATATAGTTCGGCTCTCCAGTCCAGTACTTCAATTTCTGGACTGGTCCGAGAGTCTCGGACGAAGATCCTGTTACAGGACCTCAGACCAATAAGTGCTTTACCTTCAATGTCCAAACTGTTAGAGAAAATTGCACTGATGAACTTCGTGAGCATCTAGAAATCAACAAGGTGTTGCCTGACACCCAGTCTGGGTTTAGGAAGTTACATAATACATCTACAGCGCTCATTAAAATCTACAGTCATATAGTGAAATTTAAGGACGATGGCGTGATAACGCTACTAGTCATGTTAGACTTCGGCAAGGCATTTGACATGGTGAATCACAGAGTTTTGTTTGAAAAACTGTATCATCATGGTTTGACCGGCAATGCCATGCTGTGGTTTAGTAACTACTTGTTTGATAGATTTCAATGTGTAAAATTGCGTGGTAAAGTGTCTACTTTACGAACTTTGAATTCTGGTGTTCCACAAGGAAGCGTTTTAGGCCCTATTTTATTTACTTTTTATACCTCAGTTTTGATAAAACATATATCATATCATATCAATGTGTGTTCATTTGTATGCAGATGATATACAAGTTTACAAACCATGTCAACCAACCGGTGTAAATTCTTTAATATTAGAACTTGATAAAAATGTAGACATAATTGGACAGTACTCAAAAAATCAGTGTTTGAAGGTCAATCCCTTGAAAGCCAAAGTATGTTGTGTTGGTTCTAGACTAGCGATTCTGAAGTGTAAACCAGTAATAAATAGGTACATATTTTTCGATGGTATTAACATTGAATTTGTTGAAGAAATCAAAAATTTGGAAATAGTACTTGATGGGAATTTAAGTTTTGAAAGTCACATTATATATAAGCTCAGAGTGTATGTTATTATAAATACAGATATATAAGTATATACGAGTATTAACAAGTGATATCAAACAAAAACTTGTTAATTCTCACACATTTAGATGATTGTAGTGCTGTATATTACCCTTTTCTCACTGAGGAAATGCAACAAAAAAAAGTTTTACAAAACCATTGTATGAGGTTTTGTTCCAATGAGATAAACACACGCGAACACATTACTGGGTATTATATATAAGTGAAAATCTTTTAAAGTTCAAATATCGCTCGTTACTTCTCTATGCTCTTCTACTGTTTGGGGTTTTAAAATATAAATCTCCGAAAAATCTTTTGACACATCAGAGAGAAGATATTCACTCTATCAACTGTTCTTCCGTACTGAATATTGTTATAATATACCAGCCCACACTATCTCAAAATTTAAAAAATGTTTCCATTACATAGCTCCCAGTATACTTAATGATTACCCAATTTTTTTTAAACAAACGTCCAGTCACAGCTTCAAAAGAGAGTTCTAAAGGATGCTACTACAGTTAAAATTTAATGAATCTACAGGTGGTTGAATAGATCTCATTATTAATATTATTATATTTTAAAGTTTTGTTAGCATTATTATAGTCAGCTACATGTTCTTTATGTAGTTAACATATGATATGCCCTAGTGTGATATAGTAATGCACTTGCATGAATTTACCTTAGATATTCAGCCGGGGGGTGAAAAATGGCTATGCCAATCCCCAGCCCTTTGGAGTATTATTTTTTTTGTGATATATTATTTGTTCGTATTTTGATTCTATTATTATTATTGTTATTATTATTATTGTACTTATTATTATAATTATTATATTAACGTAAACCCCCAATTTAACTGCTTTTACCCAAACATGTACTCTCCCTTTTCGTTGGTATGACTGGGTTGCATCACACTGCCAAAATATTCCAATTCGTCTCCCCTTTGCAGCCATTCTCTCTCCGAATGAACCGTCATGGTCGGGGTTTTCCAATTAAGGCTAACAACCACAGGACGAAATTAACAGGAGCGCTAGGAGCAGAATTAAAGTTTGCGTATGGCATGAACAATACACCTAGGCGTGGGGCAGCTTTTTGTGCGCGCTGTGTGTTAACGAGTTTTCCTGTTTTAGGGAGGTTGGAGGTTTGGTCTGACTAACAGGTATAGAGTTGATTATCCATACTTGATACTATGCAAAGGACCATTATACTACAGCTATCTATAGCAGCTGTTTTGTGCTTTTTAGTAACTCACCAGCATGGTCTAGCCTTGGTCGCATATCCTCTATGAGAATTATCGAAACAAGACAGCATAAAGTGCCATCTATTAGCAGAATCGACCACTACGATAGGGTATTGCAGCTATGGGTTGAAACTCTTGTAAATCTCAGTTCGCGTTTGATAGCCCAGAATCTGCTGTGACCGCTAGATGCTGACTATTCTGGCGATATAGTAGATGACCACATCTCTAGCGAGTATACCAAATTTTGAAGTGAAAACGTTTAAATTCTCTCAATAATGTCATAATGCCATATACATTTGTTCAGTTGCAGTCGTCTGATCACGCTTTTTTATAAGGCAGTTTGTCTTCTTGAGGTATTTCATCTTAAGCTAGCTAACCTGGTTCCAGAAAGCTGTTAGCATTTTTGAAGGATGAAGTAAGGAGGTCACTTTTTCTTCACATCATATTCTACACATGTTAAATGGGCAAAACGTCTTGGGATCTAGCATGCCAGGGAAGGAGCTTGTCTCTTGTCTTGAGCGCTATTGAGGTTAGTCTATTGTGGCTCTAGCAATTAAAAAAAATGGGAAAACAGAAAGAGCTGTTGCGGAGACAAACATGATTTAAAGCTTTCAGTTGAACGCCACTTAATCTACTCTGTATCAATTATGGTTTATAGCGCAATTAAATAATGTGCTAAGCCACATCAAGCTTCCATTAGAGTAGTTAACAACAGTAAATCCAGAAAATACTAGTACCCCATTTTTGCGATTACACCACACACTTGAAAACCTTATCATTTAAAGCGATAATGACCCGCTTCATATTCCTAGAGATACAGTGTGTTACCTCAAAAATGGTCAAATTTCTTTCCTTTACCTCCAAACCGTTTGCCAATTGTGCATTCGTGGGGTATTATGTGAAGAGCAACCTCTGTACCTCATCCACTACCAACTTAGGATGAGATACCTCAAGAAGGTATCAAAAGCTTGCCTCGATGACTGGAAGAACATATTATACGGCACCAGACTGGTCCAACACATTATTAACGAAATCTAGGGATTCCGTAAATGTTTTCGCTTAAAGATTTCATCAACACTTTCTCTTGGTCATGTCTAACTGTATACAAAATTTCAGTCAAATATTTTTGCATTTATACTGGGCGTTTCATTTTCTTTGTCACTGAGTATACATTATATAGTCACAAAGTCTGTACGTTTTTCATACCAAGTATTATTAAAACTTAAGAATACCGCTGTATCCTCCACGATTTTGAAAACGAAATATTTTTCATAATTATCTTTAAAGACAGGCCTGCGACCAGATCAGAGAATCTTCAAGTATCATCAGCATCTGCTGATACCAACTCCCAACTCTGAAATGCTCACTTTTCATCTGTCTGTCTATTATAAATGACGAATCTATCTCTTAACGGTACACCATATGTTTTTATGAATACTCATAGTAATATATACAGGGTGACTTCGAAGTTGAGTCATTTATTTTAACAGTGAGTAGATCTGATCAAAAGAAATGTTTTTTTCCTTTACCATTTTTCTGGTAAAATTAAAGTAACAAAGTTATAGCCCTTTGGAAGTTTGAGTACCGCCCTGTCTCAATAATGATATTATGTTCTCGTGTTTGGCAACAACAGATATAATCCGCCTTATCCGTTCATCGCATCGGAAACAAAAAAGCGAAAGAATTTGGAACGATATTTTTACAATTAGTTTCTTCAGTTGTATACAGTCAGTATCAGTCGGTAGTCGGTAACGCGTAAGTGAATTGTCGTGTCTGTTGCGAGGCTCAAATCAAAAATGGCACATGTTTACGAAAATGCTGAACTTGTGGACATGGTTCTTATTTACAAAATGCTGCCGAGGCATCACGGATCTATGCGGATCGGTTTCCCAATCGAGTGCAACCAACCCCTCGTGCCTTTGTTAATGTAGTGCAAAGAGCTCGTGAATCAGGTGACTTAAGACCTCACAGAGGAGATCATGCCGGTGCTCCAAGACCACACGATCAAATAGAACTAGAAGAACAAATTTTAGAATTAGTAAGTGATGATCCAACAGTAAGCACCCGACAAATTTCAACTCAATTGGCGATTAGTCAATATAAAACTTGGAAAACTCTACGTGAAAATCAGTTAGTTCTATCCGTTTCACATACAAAAAGTGCAGGCCTTACAACCGGAAGATCATGAACAAAGGGTTGACTTTTGCAATTGGCTTTTAAATAAACATCAAAATGATGACAATTTTTTAAATCAAATTTTAGTGAGTGATGAAGCCCTCTTTACTAGAAACGGAATTATTAATTCACGTAATTCTCACGTTTGGGCTATTGAAAATCCCCATGAAATAAGGGAAACCAATTTTCAACAGCGATTTGAACCAATCAACCTGTGGGCGGGAATTGTTAATGGAATTTTAGTGGGGCCTTTTGAATTACCAAATCGCTTAACTGGTGAAAATTATTTTGATTTCTTGCAACACAATTTGCCTGGTTTACTGGAAGATGTGCCTTTAAATATTAGACAAAACATGTGGTTTTTACAAGATGGGGCACCACCCCATTATGCAAGAAATGTGCGTGAATTTTTAAATAGACAATTTAATAATCGTTGGATCGGCCGTGGCGGTTTTGTACCTTGGCCGCCAAGGTCTCCGGACTTAAATCCTTTAGACTTTTGTTTGTGGGGTTGGCTAAAAACTCTAGTGTATAAAACACCGGTTAATACACGCGAAGAATTACGTGCTCGAATTGAGGAAATGAGTACAGTGATCAGAAATCAACCAGTGATTTTATTGCGTGCTTGTAAAGAGACATGGCTAAGACGCGCCCAGCTGTGCGTCGAGCAAAACGGAAATCATTTCGAACAGTTTTTGTGACATGCTTTTGGGCGCACAGGTCCGCACTGAAATACTTGTCGGGAGGATACTTTATAAAACAAGGTAACATTTTTTTTTTATTTTTTTTTTATTTTTACACACATATTTTGGTTTATCTTCCTTCTACAATCATTATCTGAAAATTAATGACTCAACTTCAAAGTCACCCTGTATATACCTTTTCATTTTCGTCCTTCTACTGCGTATTTCCCGGTGACCTGGTTGTGCGCCCTTCCATTCACCGCCATTTCTATGACGTCAATTCCGTCGACATTCGTCAAACCGGATACGGCCCATCATTGGGTGGCGGTCCCAATCGGATTACCAGGGATCTATCCGCCTTCTGCTGATACGAGACACGTTGGTGCTTTATCCAGTATTCATTCCCATCGACATTGGCGACGTGTTTCGCCTGCTTTCTTTGACGTCTTTTGTTCGGGATACAAGGAGACATCTTTTTTTCAGCCGACTCTTGATGTGCTCTGCAATAGCGATGAATAAATTAACAACATATTTGTTCGCGCGATGTGTGCGTATGATTTTTTAAGCTGTTATGAATAAAACGTCGTCAAGTAGTTTGACTCTGCACTTCCCACAACGGTGTTCCTTTAGAAAAGGCTAAGCTGCTATTTAGTAATATTGCCACGGCGCTATAAATTTTACATCGTTGCTTCGAACCACGATCCGCATCGCCGCGAACACTCTATTGACTAACCAGTGTTTATTAACGATAACTATTGTCATTTTTCAAGCTAGTTAACACCGTCGGCTAACAATGTCTGCGGAGACCCAGTGGCTTTCTCAAGAGTCCAAACAGGAGGTTTAAGCAATTTTTATCTTCTTCGTTTGTCCGCTACGACTGGATCGATTTTCAAAAAATATAAAGCTTTTTCGTCCTGGCATAGTAGCAAAAAGTGACGGAAATAAGAGACATGATATTTCGTAACGTACATGACATATATGACATCTTAAAACATGTCTAACTTAAAATTTTTCGTGTTTACAATAAATGCTTCTCCGCCAACTGGTGTGGGAAGTAAAAAGATGTCAATCGGATTGACTTCTCACGTCTCAGTGGTCGAAGTCAAAGTATAGTGTATTACTACCAAAGTTAGGAAGCTCCAATCTTCCCAGAAACTGAGTTTTTTCCAGTGATGCACAACCACGGTATATTTGTCACTTCAACCAGATGCGTCATACAATTATTTTACCACGGAATAGCCCTACAATTAAGTATTCTTTAATAAAGTTTTTGATAGGATACTGTTACTGCCATCTAATTCACTGTAGGATAGAATGTTGAAATACAATATGGAACAATATATCTAGAAAAGATATAAAACTGTATCTTTTTCTCAACATTCTAATTTTCAATAGAAAACAAGAAGGCTAGAAAATAATGAGATCTTAAACTGTAAATAGCGTCATCTGCATATGTCGCAAAATTGAATATAACTAGAGCCCCAACGCCCAATTTTTATATAGATTTCACAAAAATAACTCAAGCACACAGAAACAACGGTTTTGAGAATGAAACTTCGACGCCATACTCAATATTTACATCAATGCTTTTACCTTTTAAGTCCGATTATTTAAAGTTTGTTGTTTTGCATTTTATATTAGAGCCCCAAATGTAAACGGAAAACTGTAACTGTATTTAATATATGTGTTCCAATTTGATTTCTTCAATAGACCCCCATACGGATCGTAGTTTAGTCTGATACTTTCAATAACGAATACTCTCTGATAGGTAGCCAAATTACGAATAGTACCATCGCACAGGAAATGACAATGTCCTATTGAATGAAGAAGAAAACAACCTGCTGTTAACGTTAAAGTATCGGTACGCTATTGTAATTCTCTTCCAGTCATGGAATCCATTAACCATGTACACTAACTCATAAAGTATTCTCAGCACGTATTGATTTGATGTGGAGACTACATACTTTCCGATACTCTTCGTGCCTCGACTGACATTGTTTAGATAGTAAAACGTCGCCTGATATCTTCATTATAACCGTGATAGAAGGTTTTCACCCAACAGTTTATCGACAAACGGAAAGTTATAAAGATCTTGTTGAGCTTATATTGATATAAGACCTACTTTTTCATGTTAACAGCGTCACCAAAACATGCTATTTTAGGCTGAAACTACATGTATTATATACCAACAGGCAATTCCAGTTTTAAAACAAAAAAGCGATTATGTGAATCATTAATTATTTCCAAAATTGTATTATCCTTGCTTAGATCGGATGTTTGCCTACAGACTACAAGAAATTCAAAATTCTTGTTGCCGCTTGACTAACAATATGAGGAAATATCATCATGTAAGAGGCCTAATCAAAGATTTAGGAAGGCTCAAAATTAATAGCCTGTTCAAAGATGATTTATTTTTATCATTTATAACGTTCATTAACACCACTAATTCACCACTATGTTTCTGGAACAAGCATTCATGATTTAAATTTAATGTATATGAGCACATTATCTATACCTAGACATCTCACAGCCATGTTTCAACGTTCTTACTCATATATTGAATCCAAATATTATAATGCATTAGACATCAATATTAGGAATAATAATAAATTTACGTCTTTATTAAAACAAAACATTTTGTACATACAGTAAAACACAGAAATTTTGGTAGCACTTAATCTTTGTTGAATACATTTTATGTACACTAACACAACATTTTAGAAGCATTTAATACTTCATCAAGTATCAAGTAAAAGACATTATTATAGTTTATTGTATATGGTACATAAAATATATTCTTAATTTAGACTTTTTTAATACTTTTCTAAATAGTGATTGAGTAGATTAGCCAATGGCTAGACTCCTCCATTTGCATCATATTTTTTAATGTTATGCGGTGATGTTAATGTTGCATATATTTATTATTATTAGAAGAAGATCATTGTCGTAGATTTGGTCACCTCTGCCCCATTGTGATACATTTGTGCTTTTGTCTGGAAATGCACCTCAGAACCTACGACAAATCTGCACAATGCACATGACTTATCTAACAGTTTCCAGTTTTACAATTGATCCTAAAAAAATCTTAGATTAGATTGTCCAGTCTTTACGGAGGCTCGTCGGTACGCTCTATGCTTCAGGTGAATAGTGAAATCACATGCATGAATATGTCAAAATTATTGTTGTGTACTCAATATCACAGTAGAGAGATGCTGAAGTATTTACATATTTTAAATAAAATATTGTGTTCCTCAAAAGTTTGTCCACCTTGTACATGCTCGCACACCATTCAGTTCTATTTCCTTCGTATTCATTTACAAGATTCATAAATCTTGCCGTCTCAGGCGGCTGTAAAACATTTAATCCCAAAAAGAAATTTACCTGAAACGAGAGCACAAAGGCAGTTCCAACATTTGGCAGCAACTGAGGAATTTCACGGCCGCAAAAGGTCAAACACCGAAAGTGCTACATCCGAAATCGTAAAAGTTTCTATAGTTTGCTTTTTTCTTGAGTCTTGTTGGAAAAAAATTCTTATTTGGTGCGCCACTTGACTATGAGATATTATTCACATCTTAGTGACGAGAAATTTATAGGTAAATTCTATGACTAACATGTCCTCAACCCATTGAAATATGATTTGGAAGAGGAGCTCGAATTAGCTGGTATATAGGTGTATTATGGGCATAAATCTAAAGATATGCCCCGCAATACTGCTCTCAAGTGTTGTAGATTAACCAGAACAGTACTAGACTGCTATGTGTTACTTGGAAGGTGCTGCCTGCGTGAGGAGCAGTTACAATGTATCGGCAATAAGACTGCTGCAACCAGAATTCTGGGTTCGGAACCTCTGTGTGCTCTATCATTCCGAGCCTTGACTAAAAGGGCATTTCCACAAAGTTTGCAAAAACATATTTTATGATACTTTTGGCTGTATGCCCATGTCCATACAACAGCTTTGATTTGCAACTGGCATTGAGGAACAACAGGAAGATGAGGCAGCTTAGTACTTGCGTTGCGACTGCCTAGGCGTCCCGTCAATACGCAGATCCCTCTTGGGGAAGCATCAGCCTTCTATGTATAATGTAAAGGGTAACTACCCTTGGTCGTCCTTTCTTTAATAATTTAAGGCTGGGAACTGAATGACCCTTGATCGCTTACCCTTTCTCCATTAGAGAATACAGGAAGGAGAATGTATCAGTTTTCCCATTTTTGACACACACGTATGACGTTTATTGTGAGATCTCGTTTGTCCCTAGCGAAGCCGGGTACCAATTTCTTAATAAACTGCGCACTTCCCACTGATTTTCTCATGTAGCTAGCCCGAGGTTCAGGATTGGTCTTTGCTGACAAAATGTTTTTTTTTGTATCACTTAAGCCCAAATATAGAATGTTTTTCGTCCAGTGATTTTAATTCTTTTGTGTTTGTATTGTACACCTTGGCTTGGAACATTGATATTACTAATGCTCTAGCATCACATTTCCAACATTTTCTAGCAACTGTAAAATCTAGTTGGGGACAAGTTAGGGAGCTTGCATCTTTCTCAGTTTCTTTCCAACTTTGAATAGTTTGTATCAATTGTAAAGATTGAAGCCAGATAACCGTTATTATACAATTTGGTGTGTACTGTTCTTTTATTGAATATTCCTGTTTGTATTGCTCACAGAAATATCAGATTCTTATAGTTCAAGATCAGAATCCGATTCTACAACGCTTGGAGTGATGATGAAAACATTATGCACATATTGCTTCATAATTAAAAAAAAAAACAAATACAAAAAATGAGCATTACATAAATGTAATGACATCTCTTTACGATGGAAGTGAATTTAAGGAACAGAGCATGTTCTTCAAAACTGTGGAACTGTGTTTCACTAGTGTGATAATGAGGAAAAAAACAGAATTTCATCTAAAAGTCAAATACGATGCTGTCACTGTCAACTCGAACGAATTTTGTCAAAAACATTTGTTCAGGCAAAATCAAATTTGAAACCGTTGGGAACTAGCCTTTTAACAACGCCACGTTGGAGGAGTTCACAATCGAGTGACAAGCCGTTGGAAATGTGATGCTACTATTGTCTGTAGCAATTTTGGATCGGACACACCGTAATCAAAAATCGGCCTCTAAAAAACCATCTGCTCTAAAACCCGGTCACGGAACTAATCATCATTGACCTTGTGCTTTGGCATGCACTATTGCCACTCTACTAGAGCTTTTACAGCTTCCTCGCCATTAAATCTGACTGTAAAACCGGTAACTCATAAAATTGAACTTTATGACTAATGGCCTTTTGTAATGATCATTACTCTCTTTTTACGGCGAGTACGCAGGTACCCGTTATTATTAGGTTGTTTTCATTCATAAAAACAAATGACTGGTAGTTCATCAAACGGCTGAGCTATGCACAAACTCGGTGGAAGCCATTCTGTGATATTTATTACAAGCGCGTCACGATTTCGTCTCAACTTTATGTCGGTAGGTCTGTGGAACATCCGCTCCAA